AATACAGCCAATTTTGGAGAAATGACCAACCAAGCAAATAAAAAGTACTTATAAATTCCCCAGATCAGTGAAAGCTCCTCAAATACCTCACTGCTATTTTTCTTAGGAAAGCTAGAATCCCTAAGGAAACGCCAGCCCAGTATTGCCCAGGGTGTTAGGAATGGACATACCCCCGACATGAATGGTAAAGTACAAATTAGGACATGTCAACAAGCTATGGGGCTGTTCTTAATTTAACACAGCTTCAACATGTGTATATCCTCTGAATCAGGAATTTTATTCCAACAGAATAAATATTCACAGAGATTCTGCTGAAAGAAAAACTGATGAGAGAATGTTCATAATCCTGAAAAAACCTGAAAGCAGTGTAAATATCCAACAACAGAGGAATGGTTAACTCTACTCTGCATATCCTTCGAACTCTCCTATTACATTGCGTATCAATTGTACCTCAACAGAGCTTTAAAAACGAATTAATAGGCAGATAACAAAAATGATGAGGGGAATAATATTTAATCACATGGGAATATTGTTAGGTACAAAAAGCAGGCTACAGAGAGCATGAATAATATAATTCTACTTTTGTAAAGCCAGTGTATGTGTGTGTGTGTATCTAAAAGAATATACAAAAACAATATACACCAAGATGTTAAAAATGTTTGTCTCTGGAAAGGCAGATTACAAATGACTCTTATTCTCCTCCTTCTGCTTATTTACACTTATTTTTTAAACAATAAATATATTTTTTTATTAAGGAGATAAAGCTAATTCAAAAAAATGAGTTTTTCGTAAACATGTGAATTTAATTTCTTTCACTCTTAACTTTTCTGCCAGAGTGTTGCTACTGCTTACTCATATTCCAAGGGCATAATTTTCCTGTCATGTTGCCAAGTGGGAAACTATAAGGATCCTTTCATTCTTGGAAATGTTCCCCCTGTTCTTCTGATGGGTGAACAGTAGAAGGGCACAGGGTAAACCGTCCAATTGTCTATGTGCATAGCAGCATAGAAAAAGAACACAGTGTTTCGTTAAAACCCAAAGAAAAGCAGTGTTATTCACTACAATGGATTTAGAGTTGCAGGTACAATATTTTTTCTTTCAAATAAAATAAAATATATAATTTCTGAGAAATCTTTACAAAAAACCACTGCCCATTCCTTAATGGGCACCATTTCCTGGCTCAGGTTGGGGAAACAAGTTTCCCCACAAATTTATTTGCTTCTACATCGATGTTTCAAGCTGAAACTAGACATGGAATTTCAAAATTCCACAAGAATGGAAAAATTAAAATTCAAGTTTTAGACACTGTGTTCTGCCAAAGTGACACTTCCCCTTGCTCCTTTGTGACTAATTTTCCCCCCATCGTCACTACTGGTACCAGCTGGAGAGAGACCTTTAAAAGCTCAGCCTTGGGCAATGGCAAACAGGCAAGTCCATCTTTGAATCTCATTACAGCTCAAAGTAAGCAGAAAAATTCCAGCTACATTTCTTCAGTGTTTCCTAAGTTTCCACAGGTCCTGCTCAGGAAACTTCTGCCTTTCCCAGCTGGAAGTCTGCCCAGGAGTCAAAAGTAAATGCCTTCCAAATTGTAGGGTCTATTTAATTTGTGCAGTTTATATTCCAGAGGTTTCCTGTTAATTAATTAAAGTCTTGTTTAAGTTTAATTGAGAAGCCAGGTTTCCTTATAAGAAAAGTATCTTTCTCTTTTCTTTTTCATCTGAGCAAAAGATCTGAAAATAGCTGTGCATTAAATGAGCAGCTTCTTAGCATGAGTTGCAGGACCTTGCAGAAGGAAGGGAGGAGGTTGTACAGCTCCAGTGCCCTCTTTCCTCCATCCCTAAGTGTAGCATGACCTATAACTTATATAAAATGGTGACGAGGACACACACCAAGGCGATTCAGAGAGACATCATCCCTTCCCAGTAACATAGTGTGATGGGAAAGTGTAAGAGACAATGCAAACCGGAACTCACCCAAGATCTGGTCTTGAGTTTTGCTCATCTGTCTGAAATCTGGCTGCATGTAACAAATTGGGATGGCTTACAGATTATAAATAATTAAAATATTAATGAGGATGATACACTATAGAAAAAAAAGAATTCAGTCACTGTGGTTCACATAAAGTAAATTCAGTATTAACATGTGAAACATAGAGATATAATTCAGACCTCCTGTCCCCAGTGATCAGTCTTTGGGTCACTCAGTAAGTCAAGATGAATTATAGAGTAAGGCAACAGCACAGATGAAAAGTCCTAATGTTGACAAGACAATACATAGTATCAGTTTTTACTCTTTCTCTTCTGGAGCACAAAGTGGGAGTGTCCCTTTGATGAGTCTTCTCAGCTGAATTGTGTCCCCCCCCCCAAATTCATATGTCTAATCCCTGCCCCCAGTGCCTCAGAATGGGACAGTATTTGGAGATAGAGCCTTTAAAGAGGTGATTAAGTTAAAATAAGGTCATTAGGGTGTGTCCTAATCCAATCTGACTGGTGTCCTTATAAGAGGAGGAAATTTAGACACACAAAGAGACACCAGGAATGCTTGTGCTCAGAGGAAAGATGATGTGAGGACTTAGCAAGAAGGTGGCCATTAGCAAATCAAGGAGAGAGCTGCAGAAGAAACCAAGCCTGCCAACACCTTGATCTTGGGCTTCCAGCCACCAGCACTGTGCCAATATAAATTTCTGTTCTTTAAGCCACCTGGTCTGTGCTATTTTGTTATGGAAGCACTAGCAAACAAATATAATGAGAAACTAAAAAAGTAAAGCCCCTAACATGCATTTTCCCTCATTGTCAAATATATAACTGCCAACCTCCAGAGGTACTGGAGCTCAGCTCCAGTCCTCTATTCAGGGCGCATATCACATGGACTCTGGCTTTCAGCGTATATACCACTGTAATTGTAATTATAATTGCAATTCTGATAAATCTGGAAGTATTAACACAATGTCATTCTGAATATTCCAGAGCTTAAGCCCCTGGATACTTAGGTATCTGTGGCAGAACCACCCAATATTAGCAGGTTCCATTATGACTGGCTCTGATGCAGTGTTTTTGATACATCAATGGCTGGGACTTAGATAAATCAATAAACATGAGGACAGTTTTACATTTTTATCTAACACCTTGTAAATGTGATGGAGGCAGAAGGTCCCAGGGCTCACTGTCCCACCAGAAGCAGTGGTGGGCGTGAAGAGGGGCCTACCACATGTGGCAGTCCCATGAAGTTGTCCACAGTTACCAGGGAAGGTGGTTGTAATCGCAACTCGCAATCCACTGCTCACTAGTAACAAGGAATGAGGGATCTGACACACGCTACACTAGATTTCAGCTGGAGCTTCCAACAAAGACAGAACCCTCTTTCTCCTTTTCCTTGGGCCAGTCTCTTGGATTCTTTAACTAATTTAACTTTCCTCAAGCTGTTTCAAGCTCCAACCCCAATTTTTCAGTAACCACTTTGGATTCTGGTAACACCCAGGATTTGAGATTCTCTGCCCTACTCTAAGCTGATGTTTGCCAAAAATGTAATGAGCAGAGTTTTAGTCATCGTCAAAAAAATAAATGATACCTGTCTACAATTGAGCCTTTCCAGATCACCCAGTCCTGCCTGCCAGTCCTCTTGGATTTGACTCCCCTGCCCCCATTCACTCCTAGATATTTTCTCTACTTCTTTATGAAGGCCTCCAACTCCAAACTCTAGAGAACGTTCTTATACAGGAGATATTCTTGCTGTTATGAAACATGCTCTCTTTGAATGAGGGGAAAAAAAAGAATCTTCATTAGTGCCAACTACAGAGGCTAAATAATGCCAAGTGTAGGAGGAGACAGGAAGGAAGAAAGGAAGGAAGGAAGGGAGTGGGTCAAGATAGGTCTCTACCATGTACAGTCAGCAGGTCATTCTTTAAATCACCACGTACTGAAGAGAGATTTAACTGGCCCAGGTTTACACCCCAATTCTAAATGCTATTTATTCTTTCCTAACAAATGCCTATCTCAACTCTGCACATTATTGATTTAGCAAATTACTATGTAGTTAGCTGGCTCAGCATTCTCACATGCTCTAACTGGTATGCTCTAACAGTCTTCACCAGTTGCACCTGACTATACGGAAATGAGCAGTGTCCTGTGGACCCTACCCTGGTATTCTGTGGTCAAGGGAGTTATCTGTCCACACATGTGAAAGCTAGACCCATCTGGCTCTGTAGCCAGAGAATCACACCAGAAATCAAACCCTACCCTGAGAAGGTGAGCTCCCCAATGCCCATTCCTTCCTTGCTCATGGTAGAACTCAAACTCCTTCAAGGCCCATTCACTGATACCTCCCCCCCAGCCCCCATAAGGTTCCATGAGCTGTAACTGGTCCAACCTCTAGACTCCCAGCCCTCAGGAGGAATTGTACCTCAACTGAATTCTGCCTCCATAAATATTTAGATGGCAAGGTTCACATCATTTAAAATTTTCCCAACTTCCACTTTTTTGCACACAATGGGTATCTAATAAATGTTTATTGTACTTAATCATAAATGATTAAGGACATGTATTTCATCAGTCAAGTGTTAATTTTTTAAAAAATTACTTTAGGGATGTCATTTCGACCTGGTTTAAGACTTTGAAACATAAGGAGGTATTCTAACTTTTAAAAAAAATGGAGTCAGGGAAGGAAATTTTTTTTTAGGGATAAGCAAAGGATGTGAGGGATTTATATTTTGAAGAATTATAATTTGTGTTGGAAAGGCCTTTAGAGATAATGACTAATATTTTTCCTTATAAATCTAAAATTTCAGAGATCGTCTTAGATAATGGCTAGTTGGTGGATGGAGAACATAGTGATACATTACGAAACCTCAGCCCACACATTATCTTAAACGCCATTTTTTTTTCCCTGAGCCTAGACAATTTCTGGCATTTAAAACTAGAAATTGCAAGTACAAGAAAAGTAACAAATATCCAAAACGTTACAAAGTACAGGACAGATTGGAAGTCTAGGTAAAAGATGCTTACTCAGTGCCGCTTTCCACCATCTGCGTGAGGAGAGAGATGCCATCCAGATTGATAAACTCCTGGGCAAACGTGACATCCCGGGAGAGGCTGGCCAAGTCCTTCAGGGCCTCCAGCTTGGCGTCCATACTCGACGACTGGATTCGTTCATGGAGCTGGTGGGCGTTTTGAGCCTCACCGGGGACAAAAACAAAGCACAGTATTCACGGAGGAAACCACAACAGACAAAATATTAGCATCTCATTGAGAAATGAAGACTCAAAGGCCAAAAGCACAAGACCAGATGAGTATTACAAACCAAGGGCAGGTTTCCAACCATAATGATTCCAACTTCAGGCAATGCCTGTCAATTTCACAGCAGGAATCAGCTGCCCTCTTGACAGGACCCATATTCCCATCTCAAGGAAAAGCAAGAACCCAAGAACAGTAAAACCCCAGAAATGGAGCCGGTATGGCAGTGCGGAGGGGAGAATGTTTACTTTTTAAGTAAAATTATTATCTATAAATGACAGAAAGCTATTTGCTTAATTAAGCAATTACACAAATTTATACAGCATGTTCACCCGTTCAGTCAATACTCTGAGTAATAACTGCCTACACACAATGTTCAAAAGCTTCATTAGACACCCAAATCATCTTTCTGGGTTTCGGAAAGTCTTCCAGCACAACACAATGGGGCTTGTAAATTCCACTTTTCAACAACTCGTGTTTCACGTGCATTAGCTATTTACTGCGTGAATTTAAAACAAAATAATTACGCAACCAAATTAGCAGCTTTGTCTCCCATAAAAGTTCCCCTTTTTAAGGCATTTGCATGTTGCTTCTACATGCAGGACAGAAGTATACTGGAGGAGCTGAACTTCTAGATAATAATGTGTCTTCTGTATTTCTCATTCACCCAGTCAAGGTTTCCATTTCTACCTTTCATTTGGGACAGAAAGTAGGAAAAATAAGATAATAAATTTTTCTGCCTGTGTTTTTGCTTAATAGAAATAACTGAATATCTTTGTAGTTATTAACTCAAAACCGCAATGGTTGAAGCACTCTGCCATTCTCATATTCTCCTTTGAAACTTGTCATATTTCAGAGAAAGGGGAAGAAGGTATATTTGACCCCAACAATGAGGCATCTTCTCCCAAACAGAAACTGATTAGAAATGTCAGAGGAGCCCCATGTGAACTATAACAGGGATAAGATTGCAGAGCAGAAAAAACAGAACCCACACAGGAACTGAGAGCAAAGGGACTCCACCCCAAGTGCCCCCTTCCTCCCTGTCCAGCTTCCCTTCACTGTCACCTGGAAGCAGCCCCACAGAAAGAAGGGGATTCAGCAGGGAAACCAATGCAATCTTTCAGTGACCAAGACAGATGAAACCCATACTGCTATCACTTGGTCAGAGACATATACTATGGTCTCCCATGTAATTATAACCAAAACTTGACACTTTGCATCAGAAACTAGAATAGAAGAAGGAAGCAAAGGAAGGTGCAGGAGAATAAGAACCTTTCCTACTCATTCACTGATACATACCCACATAGCTGACAAATGGCTCAAACCCTAAATTCCATTTTTTAGAAAGGGAGAATCACTTTATCTTTCTACATTGTTCAAAGATGTACCATTCTCCAAAATTTTCAAATGGAGATACAGCATTAACAGTAACATACAATATTTAAACCAAGTGAGTCACCTTGAATTCCTTGAAAAATACATTTTTCTCCCAGCAGGAAGCCTGCATTTACTATAGAGATTATGATAATAATGAGGACTCAAAAATGATTTCATTGTCATAATTAATAGTGTTTGGTGCTGTTAATACCACTAATAAAAACAGCTGACAGTTACTTAGTGATTTTCAGTTTTTGGCCGCACTGCGTGGCTTGCAGGATCTTAGTTCCCCGACCAGGGATCGAATCCAGGCCCTCGGCAGTGAAAGTGCGGAGTCCTAACCACTGGACTGCCAGGGAATTCCCACCTAGTGTTTTTTATGAGCCACTATTCAAAATATCTTCCTGAAGGACTTCATTCAATCTATCAGGCAGGAGCTTTCATTATCTTCATTTTACAAAGGAAATGGAAGTGTAGAGAAGTTAAGTAACTTGCCCAGGGTCACATAGCTTGTCCATGCTGGAGCTAAGATAGAGCCTGGGCAGCTACGCCCCTTCAAAATCAAAGACAGAACCCTCACTCACTGGTTCAACAAATACTCCTGGAAGCTTACCCTGAGCCAGGCGCTGCTCTATATATTTAGAATTCTGCAACGAACAGGAGGCAAGCCTCTTGCCCTCCTGGAGCTTACGTCCTCGAGGTGGGGGGCAGACAATAAAACAAATTAACAGGAAGACATTAAATATCGATGAGTTCATAGCCAAACCTAAAAGAGGAATGAGATAGTGACGGGTGGCTTTTTAAAATGGAGTGGTTTTCAGGGACAAGCAGCCTAAAAAGCAACATTGATGCAGAGATCTGATTGACAAGGAGTCAGGCACATCAGGCAAGGGCCGAGGAAGATATTCTGGGCAGCAGGAATAGTTAGTACAAAGGAGGTACAGGAGGAACAAGTCTGTCATGTCTGGAGGGACAGAAGGAGGACCAGTGTATCTGGGGTTGGAGAGCAAAGGAGAAAGTGGAAGGAGGAGAGGACAGGCAAGCAGACTGGGCCAGGCGGCCTAAGGAGTTCATGAGCAGCAGAGCTGGAGGAATCCTGGGTGGTGATGAGCATCCCTGACTGAAAGGATGCATTTAGATATCTAGACAGATGTGTGGTACCTTTGGAGCTCTCAAAATAGCATTATATTCAAACTCTGGAAGCCACCAAAATGTTCAACAATAGGACAATGGTTAAATAACTCATGATATAGTCATAGGATGAAATATCATATGGAATTAAAAATGAAACTTTCAGAGAATATAGGATAGCATGGGCACATCTTCATGATGGAATATTAGGAGAAAGGGGAGGATGCAAATATATTTTCTTGTTTGAGGGGCAGAGGTATATGTGTATGGGTGTGGGCGTGTATCCAGTGGAACATAAAGGAGAAGAAGAAATATGTCAAATTTGCTCACCACCTTATTTCCGGTACCTAGAACAGAGCCTGGCATTTACCAGGAGTTCAAAAAAATTCCACTAAATGCATGAAGAAATAAATGAATATATATGCACACATATTTGCATAAATACAACCCAAGGAAACAAATCAAGATATGACCCATTGTTATTTATGAAGTGTAATATTCTACATAATGCTTTGTAGCAGGCTTCACTTTTCAAATATTCCATGAGTCTGCGATATTTTTATGTTTGGGGGAAAATCTACATTATTAAAAAATAAAATAACCTTAGTTCTGATTTTTCAAGCAGTTAGCACTACTGAAAAGAGTCTAGCAGCTATATGGGTGATTGTATCAGATAGTAAGTTTTATTTTCTGGCATTGTCCTAAGGATAGAAAACAAGTTTCGCCTTGAGCCCCTCAAACAGCTCAGTGTGACTGCCTAATGTCCTGGGCTGAGAAAGTTCTGGGCCCGGGCTCAGAGGGAAACAGCCTCCGAGTGATCACAGGTGAACACAGAACGGGTATGTATGGTAGAAGTGTGCCAGGTATTTACCATCTCTATTCTTTAAGTTCCTACTTAAAATTATTCCCAAGAAACTTCCAGAATGGTTCCGGGTCCATGATACCAATTAAGAAGTCATCTAAAATGTCCTTCACAGATATTTTCAAATGTACACTCAATACTGCCCAGCAATCAGACTACGCTTTCCTAGTATGTCTGCGATGTCCCTCCAAAATGACTCCTTCACACCTTTTCTTCTCTCCTTAAACTCCCCCATCCCCTGCTTCCCTCACACCAGTGATCTTGCCTCACATTTTATTGAGGAGATCAAAGCGATCAGCCAGGAGTTCCTGCACCTTCCTACTTCAAAAAGCACAGCCAGAGTTCCTTCATCTTCTTATCTCCAAGGACACGGCCCAGGGTCTCTACTCTCACGCTTTGCTTCTCCCTGATTCTATGCACCTGGCCCCTATTTCCTATCCAAGGTCAATCTTTCCCTGCATCTCTAGAGCCCTTACCCTCTCACCTTCTCAGGTATTCTGCTTCTATTTTGTCCCCCTTTCACCCGTACATCAGTCTCTCTCCCTGCGGTGGATCATTTCCAGCTGCAAACATATCTAATAGGTTGGTCCTGTCTTAAAAAGCAAACAGAAATGTACAAGCCTTCGTACATTGAGCCAATCGATTCACTTCCAGCCAGGCCCTCATTTCACTGCTTCCACTCTCCGCAAAAGCTCTGGAATAAAGAGCGGGTCTAAAGCTGCAACTCACCTCACCTCATAATCTCTCTTCTCCTCGCCTCCACGAGGCTTCCGCCCTCGCCCCTACCTCTGCGGACAGCGGCTCCATAATGCTACCAATACCTCTGTGCAGCACACCCTCCTCGCTCATCTGATCTTCCTACTGTCTCAGCAGCCTTCAGCACACCTAAGCGTTCCTTTCTTTCTCCTTGAGGCACTTTCTTCTGTTGGCTTCTTGGCCTCCTCCAAACCTGAGAGTGTGCCCAGGGCCCTGCCTTCCCTGTGGCGGACAACCTCACCCAGCGCGTGGCCTTCCACGCCACGTACCTGTGATGGCTGGCACACCTGTATTCTCCAGGCTGCCCGACACACATTCCTAACTGCCTGGTTGACATGTTGTGCTCATGGGCACATAACAGGCATCTCGAACTCTTCATTTTCCCCTTCCCAAACTTTCTGTTCCAGTAAACAGCACTACTGTTTATTGTGCCCAAATACCGGGCCATCCTCGCAGCCTCTCTCAAGGGGCACCACATCCAAAGTATCAGGAAGTGCTAGCGCTTGCCCTCTAACACTCCTTCAGACCCTCCGCATCCTTACAACGCAGGCAGCCCGCACCATCTTCATCTCCTGCCGGGACTGCTGCACTGAACTCCTAACCTGTCCCCCTGCCACCTACAGTCTGTTCTTGGGCAGCAGCCAGAGTGATCTTGTCACTCCTCTGCCTAAAAGCCTCCACTGGCTTCTCTCTGAGTTAGGCTCATTGGGCAATGGAGAGAAATAGAACTTAAGACAGCTTACAATTCTTTTCAAGTTTCTCAGCTCCGTGGAGAGAAATTGGTTCCAAAAATTTTAATGGCCTCCCTGTTAAGAATCTCTGATAACCTGAATCCACAGAGTGACTGAGATAACACTGCTTTTCTTTTCGCTAGGGTAACTGGCCCCCAAAATCAGTGTGACAAGCCCTCTGACCCAGATGCCTCTAATATCATTTCTCCAAACGAGAGAGAACAGAAAGGCAGGGTTATGCTTAGAGCTGACAAAGCAACAGTAGACACTTGATGAGCAGTTTTGTTTAATATGTCCACACGGGCCACATGAGGGATAAAAGGCAAGAAGAGCTCGGGTCGTATATAAAACGGCTCTTAAAAATCTAATAGGTTGGAATACTGGAATGGTTTTAGCATGGAATGTTATGATTCACCTCTTGTATACTGTAGTGACATTATGATATGTATTTGTGTGTGTATTTATTTAATTAAAAATAACACCAGCACATGGTATAGAAATATGTAAGTACCACCAGAAGTTATAAAATGATAAATAAAGTTAGCCTAATGTTAACAGTTTCTTGTGTCCCTTGAGAATCATTTTTATCCTTTTATCAACATACATACACCTCCTTTCCCTGTGCATAACGCTGTCACTCCATACACAGTGTTCTGCAACCTGCTTTTGCACTTAATAATAAAATTTTTAGATGCCCCTGAGGCAGCATGACACATTCTTTTTTACAGCTACACAGTATTCTATCACATGGTTATTACCTAATGCATTTAACTAGTCCCAACTGATAGACAGTTAACAGGTTTCAGTTTTTGATTACTGAAAGCAATGATGCATACAGCCCTGTATGGGTGTGTATGGGGTGTGTGTGTGTGTGTGTGTGTGTGTGTGTGTGTGTGTGTCCTGCAGTGCTTTTGTGAGTCTATCTATTGGATAAATTCCCAGCAGTAAAATTGTTAGGACAAAGACATATGTATTTTAAGCTTGGGTGGATACAGCTAAGTTGCCCTCCAAAGAGGCTGTACCAATTTATACTCTTGACACCACAGCGTCTTTGCCTCACACCTTGATTATCTAGGAGTGTAGATTTTCATCTCTTTTGAGAGAAAGATTGAGTTTTTTCTTTCATATGTATCTATATCTATATAGATCTATACAGCTATAGCTAAATAGCCATATATAGATCTATATAGATCCATCTATCTATACATATCTATAGATAGACTATATACAGAGATTTATAGATCAAGAGAGAGAAAGAAATCATTTTTGTTTATAGCTTTTGGCCATCTGTTTTGGGGGCAGTTATTTATTCATAAGAGATCCTGCAAATTGAGGAATTAGCCCTCTATTTACCATGTATGTGGCCAATTGTTTTCCTTAATTTGCTGTTTTTGACTTTGTTTCTGGAATTCTTTCCAAACATGAAGGTTTTGTAGGGTTGTTTTTATTTTTTGGTAGTCAAATTTATCAATCTTTTCTTTATGACTTCTGGGTTCTGTGTCCTACTTAAAGTGGCTTTCCACACTCCAAGACTACAAATATATTTACTGTGAAAACTTTTAAAAACAAAAATTTCAGGAAAGTGAAAACAATGGTCTGGGAACACAAGCTTCTTCTGATAGGAACAATAGCCAAAATTTATGTAAAATATGCTTTATGCAACATGTGACCTCAGGTTAGATTTCCATAGGTATTATTATCGTGGCAGGTACAAGGGAACACTACTTAGCTGCGGAATCTGAAGGTCTCCAAACCCTGAAATGCTCAGAAATTCACACACATTTGCACACATTCCCTGAGTATGTTCATGGCTAGATTTTCATGATACTGGAGAGATGGATAAGGATAGGACACCTAAAAAAGATACATGTTTAAGATGGTCACTAGAGAGACTGTCTAAAGATGTGCAATGCAGAGGAAGACCATCAGCCAAGTGTCGGACTTTTAAAAGAATAAAAATGCAGGTTGTTTTCTTCGATCTTCTCTTATTAATGCCCTATTTTGTTAGGAACAATCCAGAAAGGATAGTTCTATATAGAGGAGGACTGAAAATAAATCCATCAACAAAAATACCATCACTGACAGAGTGGAGGTGAGACTCAGCCCAGCTGCACATTGCCTAAAACAAGAGTGTGTGTATGCATGTGTGTATCGAGTGTGGGCATGTGTGCGTCTTTTCTGGCTACTGGGAGAGTTCAGCTGAGGTAGATGAAAGGACTTGTAAAATCTAGCGCAACACTGCTTGCCAGTTTCTTTATGGTACTCTAATACCTCCTAGCAAATGTAATAGAGACAGCTATTTTTTAAAATATATTTTTATTGTGTATGTAAAAAGTGAAAGAGTTAGCATATGCTGACCCATATTTTTCAGTCAAACACAAAGTAATTTTTTAAAAAATCTACCAGCAACAAGTGATACAGATCCAAACTATCTTGATTATAATGTAATTCCCAATTCTATACCCTGTGGCTACAGTCAAATCATAAATGCTTTCTTAAACTGCAGGTGCCTGGACCCTATTCCTAGATACCATCATTCAGCTTCTCTTTAAAGGCTCAGACATCAGCATTTTAAAAATTCTACCAACGATTCAGGTTTGGGGACCACTGTCCTCTGGAAAATGTAAACCAGTCTCTTGTAGTGAATTCCATCGTATAATATTGCCTTGTGCACTGGCTTCCACATCTCTCCATTCACCGTGCTGGGTATATGAAGGGCACAAGCTCCATTGTCCCCAGTGATGCCAAGTCATGCCATGGTGTTAGTACTTGATGTTCCAGATGCTGACAAACTCCACCCTGCCCAACACCTAACATTCTTTCAAGGGGTAGCTTAGCGCTGCAGAAATTTTGTTCATGAACCCATGGCAAATAAAAAAGAGAATTGACTTCAATTAGTGAAGACCTAGATTTTTAACAAAAAGCAGTGCCTTTCTAATTCTGAGATGAAACAAAAGGCAAGGTGTACTCTTTCTGCCCATCAAGCAGGTGAATAATTTCAGCAGGATAAATAGGAACTACAAAACCCAAATGAAACCATGGTCTCTAAAGGTCAAATTAACATGAACTCATGCTGACTAAAGTAAGAAGATCAATGCTAAGGCAGACAAAAATGTCTCAGCTCATCATGTAGCCCCTGAAAAATGAGTATGAATCATAATTCCCATTAAGTGGAAAAGAAGGTACCAAAAGACAGTTCAGCCAACACCAGTGGCATATTCTTATGGAGTCCATCACTGTGTTTAGGCTCGAAATGTTACTGGGTAAAATGTTCAGGAGTTTGTAAGCCTCTCTTAATGTAATTTTCGACAAGAAGAATTTGTGGTGGTTACAGTACCACAATTTAATTTTAGCCAGATGCTTTTCCCAATTTTTAAATTTATTTTTAGCCTACCACATGGCTTCAGTGGAAACTGAAAATGAGAGCTAGACACAGTTTTCATCACATATGCAGAGTGAAAATAGTAACACTTGGTGTATTTTGTGCAGATTATTTTTTTAGGAGAGCGGTAAAATGCACTGTGAAAAATACGTAGTTTAAATATGCTAATGTTACTACCCAAAGTATCTATAAGCCAGCAAGAAAGATCAAGATAAGCAACACAGTCAGCTATAGTAATCTAAATATACGGCAGCATTTTGTTTAGCAGCTCTTATCTGGAAGACTTTAAAGTGTTTTGTTTTTTTTTTCCTAGAATCAGCTGTCAGTGAAACAGCGTTAAGTGGCAAACATTTCTTAAACTATATTTTTATGAATTGTCATAATAACTGACCAAAACTAGAAAATGCTTAAACACTCTCTCTCTTTCACACACAGACACACCCTCTGACTTCAAAGGGAAGTAACGGGCTGTCTCTAGTTTTATTTCCTTTGTTTGTTGTCTGAATTTGTTCAGATGGCCTTAGGTGGATCTGTGGACAGGTAGGTAAAAACCGATCAGTACAGCTGAGTTATCCCATCTGTAATAAAAGAATTGCTGAGATGACCCCAAAACTCAAACCTTAAGATCAATTTACTTGCACATAACCTGGAACAAAAATTGCCCTTTCTGTAATGGGAAATAGAAGGAGGGGCATTCCTGCCAGTCCAGAATATGAGGACCGTCCAAAGATCTTTTGTTTCACACAAAAGTCACCGTGAAAAATTAACATCCCATAATCCCTTTAACAAACTGCAGATCAAAGACTTTACTAGAAAGCTACAAACAAAGATCAACTTACTGGAGATGTGGTTAATCGAAGGATAGTGCCATTTTTTATTTCATTGCGATTCTGGAAAAGAAAAAAAAAATCTCTGTAAATCTTCAAGTGGACGCTTGGGAAAGAAGAGAACAAAGTTAAGTATAATCTAGCAGAGACTCTATATAATAAGCATTCATATGATTCAGCTTATTCTCACTTGAGTGATTTTTAGTTATTTCACAAAGAACTTTAAACTGGGTCCCAGATGTATTAACTTTATTTTTTTCCCTTCAATTCTTTTTGTTTAATTTAATTTTTATTTTATTTTGGAGTATAGCTGATTTACAATGTTGTGTTAGTTTCGGGTGCACAGCAAAGTGATTCAGTTATACATATACATGTAACCATTCTTTTTCAGATTCTTTTCCCTTATAGGTTATTACAGAATAGTGAGTAGAGTTCCCTGTGCTATACAGTAGGTCCTTCTTGATTATCTATTTTATATATAGTAGCGTGTATATGTTAATCCCATACTGTTAACTCATCCCTCGCCCCCTCCCCGACCTTTCCCCTTTGGGAACCATAAGTTTGTTTTCAAAGTCCGTGAGTCTATTTCTGTTCTGTTTCTTTATACCAAGTCATGGACAGCATTCAGTACAGAGGAAGTGAATATAAACCCAGAAAACAGGAATACGGGGCCCAAGGACAGGAATCAAAAAAAGCAATTTAAAAGGTTATTAAGGGAATATGACCCAGCAATACCATTCCTACATATATACCCAAGAGAACCGAAACTGTATGTCCACGTAAAAACTTGTACATGAATGTTCATAGAAATGTTATTCATAATAGCCAAAAGTGTAAACAACCTGAATGTCCATCAGCAGATGACTAGATAAACAAAATGTGGTAAATCCATATAATGGAATATTATTAGGCCGTACAAAGAAATGAAGTATTGATACACACTACCACATGGATGAAACTTGGAAACATCAAGCGAAAGAATCTAGAGGCAAAGGCCACATATTTTATGATTCCATGTATCAGAAGAGGCAAATCCATAGGAACAGGAAGCAGATTAATGGTTTCCAAGGGCTGGCGGAGGAGGATTTGGGAGTGAGTGCTAATGGGTTCAGGGGTTTGGGGGGGTGATTAAATGTTCTAAAATTGATTATGGTGATGATTTCAAAAATCTGTGAATACAGTAAAATCCAATGAATTGAACACTTTGTAAGGTGAGTTTTTTGGTACGTGAATTATATCTCAATAAAGCTGTTCTTTTTTAAATGAAAGGTTAGAAAGGAACCTGGTTTCTTAACATTTGATGGTCCCTACTGCATTTTGCCTTGAAGTTAAGAACAAACAGCATAAATGAGCGAGCAGATCCCAAATCGGTCCACCTCCACTTGGCAAGTGTATTTGAGGTGAGTGTCTTGAAACTTTCACTTAGCATCTTTGGCATTGAAGGGAGAATTTCACTGGTAGTTTTCTTTTCTGCCACCAGAGTACGCACCATGCTCAGCTTTCAGAAGTTGGCCTTCTGGGAGTCACAGTACCGCATCCCTCACCCTGGAGCACTGAGGCCAGGAGGTTAATAAAGTGCCTTGTGGGCCCTTCTCCTGTACCGTTTCAGACAAGTCCCAAGCTAGACTTTGCTCAGGATGCAGCAGGCACGCTGAATTGTTGGGAAATTTCTCAGGATGAGATGCCAAAAACACAGAACACTCACTCTCTCCCTCAGCCAATTCTGACTACTTATTGGAAAATGAATTCTGTAAAAGAATTATCTGAAAGCGAACAGGCTTCAGGCCAATACTCTCTCCCAAAGAAAACCTAATCTGAACGTTTTATACTGAGTTCAGGCCTGAAAACTCCATACTGCCGGATCCAAACCTTCCTCGGGCAATTTCAGCGCAATCTAGAGCATCCCCAGCCAGACACCCTGGGCCACCTCTTGAGGGAGCAAGGTCCTCATTACCTGAAGTGTGCAGGCAAGGGCTGAATAGCCACCTGGCAGCCAGGCTCAGGTATGAGATGGTGAAATGAATTTCAGTCTTTTAAATAAAAAACTCCTTTCAACTCTAAAATTCTATGCCTCTATGAGAATTGGAGAGGAAGACCACAAACAGTAATTATAGAATTAAGGAAGCCGAACACATAGCATACCTCTTTCCTGTCAGGTTCTAAATGAAAGAGAGTCAGAAGATGAAAGGCTAAAATACCTCCTTTATTAGTGATTATGGAACACAAGGCTGACAGTGAGAACCAGCTGACAGATAACTAAACCCTCAGGTTAACAGGTAACTTATAAGGTAAGTTCAGTTAAGTTAACAGATAACTTACCCTCAGGTAAGACCAAAGGCAAGTTCCTTCCCAAGAGGAAAAGGGGACCCAGTTTATTCTTCCCAAATAACGAATCAAGTAGGGAAAGAGGGCATGAAGAAACCAGGAGGGTTTAGCAATAATCTCTCCTCATGAAAATTAGGAGTGACGATGAAGCATTCCTAATAAAAGCAATAAACTAACATTTATTGAAAGGCACTGGGGTGAGGGTTTTTGGTTTTTGTTGGAATGCTTATTTAACCATCATAATAACTTGATGCTCACTTTAAAGATAAGGAACCAAAGCTACCAAGAGGATAAATTATTTGCCCAACATCATGGAGGGGGAAGGGCGGACTCACACTCATCAGGGTGGGGAGCATATCTGACACCAGATGCTGTGCTCTCTCTGGAAAAGGTAAGAAGATCTAGGCCTTGCATTTATCTTCAAGGGGGGAGCGCATCACCTGGCCAACATATATGAGAGCAAAGAAGTAAGAATGGTATTAACAAATGCTCTGCATATTCCCAGGTGTTCCCTGGGATGCCCTGGGCATGGGGCACCAGGTGGGAGTATGGCCGGGGTGACCTCAAGCAGTTGAGTTCCAGGCCCCCATGTTGGCTCCTGCAACGTTGACTCCTGACTTTCTGGGACCCAAGTAGGAGCTCTTTGAAGAAAGTGTCTTGAGGATTGTTTAAAACAAAAGCAGTGTTAAAACCACTGACAGGCAGGGCTGGGTTCAAATGACCTCCGTCTCGCACCAGCTGTGTGTGCTCAGTGCGAGCTACTTAACCACTCTGATCTAAGTTTTCTCTTCCCTAATATGGGAAGAACAAGTCATTGCTTAGAGAATGTAGTAAGAACCAGACGTGACAGATGATCTGTGCCTGGCCTAGAACTGGTTCAAAAATGAGAGCGATCTGGATTATTACATCGAGAGCAGCATGCCTCCCTTCCCAGTCGGCAGTCCATTTGCCCTCCGTCTCTTCCTTTTCCCTAAAAAGATGTTTCTTAATCAGCATTTTGTATTTTGGAATAAAAAAGATAAGTAGAAGAGCCACTATTATATGCATTAAAAACGTTAAGGTCCCGACAGAAAGGTAGATAAACTGAAAGAAATAGGCAATGGTAGACATCTGCTTCAGAGACTATTCTATCAGGAAAATCACCTGGATTGCACCTCGTCTGCCACAGACTGTGACACCCTTTGCTCTCCAAAGCTGTCTAACTTGTGATGTAGACAAAGGAAAAGGCTTGGACTTACTCTTAATTTCATAAGTTCCATCCAGACACTGCAGCATCATTTAAGAGTTGGATTTCCAGATAGGACAGTCTCAGTTGGATCCACATTTCACTTCTCACCTGGGGAATCTGCTACAAGTGACACAGCTGCCCTTTGTGTCAGTTTGTTCAGGTGTAAAATAAGGAGAGCACCTGTCTCCTAAGGCTGTTCTGAGGATTAACTGAAACAATCCATTTAAAGTGCTTAGAGTAGAGAATGGCAAACACCTTGCAAACACTCACGAAAAAAAGTTAGCTCTTTATCATTAGTGCAAAAATAACATCTAAAAAGCACAGTGCTGCGTATGCTTATTTGTTTTTAGCTAGTCTCTCTCTATATGTAATCCAATCAGTAAAAATAATAGTGCCATCTATGTTATCCTGAGTCTAAGACTTTAGGAAGTCAGCAGCACCTATCCAGCAGAATAACAGCTAGCAACCGTACGCCTCTTCTATCAGCAGACCAGCATGGCTGAGGACGGAGGTCTGGCACACAGCTGGCTCCGCATCAAAGGCTGGGGAGCTGCCACTCACTCTTTTATCATAGTCTCAGGCCTCTAGGTCTGTTTCAGAGGGGCCTTCTTTGATGCAGTCCTCCAAGCATTCAATAAGGGCTGTGTGTGTGTGTATGGGTGTGTGTGTGATTGTACTTCCTTATCCTGTCCATTGGCTGCCGCCCTCTACCCGCTGACCATCACCTCTCGTTGAACCCTGACCAATACACCTCTACCTGCCGAGGCACTGCCACAGCTTGGCCTGGTACTGTTCTCCCTTAGGGAGGTGACTAATACACTGGCCAGCTTTGCCTCATCAACAGGTTATGCCACTGACCTTTGGGAAGCAGCTTTCAACAAGACCTATCCATCAGCATTCAACAGAGTCAAGGTCACCTCTCTCGGGCCAGACAAGGAACACCACTAAATGACATATAAAAGCACATGGGGAAGGAACAAAAAATAAAAGTGAACTCCCTCCCTTCAATGGAGAGGGGGATTCTGCAATAATGAAGAATGTATCCATCAACTCACAGAGCCAAGAAACTGTCCCATGCCCCTCTCTAGGAAATCAGCCTTTAATCTCCGATTCTCATGGGATCTTCATACCATTGGCTGTAGAATCACCATGAGTATTAAAATGCAGATTTCTGGGACTCCCCAGCTCGCCAAGCCCACACTCAGGGACCTGGGACTCTATATTTTCACTATGCTCCCAAGTAATTCTGATGAACAATAAAGTTTAGAATCATCCCAGTCTAATTCGTAAGACTATGCATCATATTTAGAGTAAGTATTCTGAATTTCGAGGTAATAAAGTGAGGCAAACAAGACTAATGCCAGCTCCTCAAAACTGAGGAGGAGAAAGCAGCAGAAAGAACATTTCTGCGGGGTAATGTCCTAACGGCACACAATGCACGGGAAGAATGACAAGGGGCCCAGTGAAAGCCTGCTAAAGCCCCACTGTCCCCTTTACTCCTAAGCCAGCA